AGATAAATCAAATGGCAACAGCACCTGATTCTCAAAGACTAAAATTATTAAGAGAAGTAGCTGGTACTAGAGTATATGATGACAGAAGAGAAGAATCAAAATTTATTTTAAAAGAAACTGAAGGCAAACTAGAAAAAATTCAAGATTTTTTAAGAACCATAGGTAAATTTTGTTATTTATTAATATATACTATTAATATATTAATATGTAACTACTATTTATTAATATAATTAAATTCCATTAAATTCCATTATTAATTTCTAAAAAATAATTGTATTATAGAGGAACGTTTGAAAACATTAGAAGAAGAAAAAGAAGAACTTAAAGAATATCAATGTTGGGATAAACAGCGTCGATGTTTAGAATATACAATTCATGAAAGAGAACTCAAAGAAAATAAAAGAAAATTAGAAGAACTAGAAAAATCTAGAGCTAATAGTGGTGTTGAACAAGCAAGATTGTGTGCTGAAGCAAAAACTGCACAGGAAATGGTGAGAGCAGCCACAAAACGACTTAAAGAAGCAAAAAAAGAAGTACAAACTGCAAAAGAGGAACGAGATACATTAAGGTATTATATTCGAAAAATTATATACAAATAATTTAATGATCACTAGTTTTAAATTAAAAATGAAATTTGCAGCGCTGAACAACAACAATTATTAAAAGAAAAAACCAAATTAACATTAACTATTAATGATTTATTGGAAGAAGTAAAAGGAGATAATGACAGTCGAAAACGTGCTCAACAAGAATTAGAAAAATTAAAAGTAAATATTGCAGCAAGAGAAGCAGAATTAGAAGAATTAAAACCTGAAGTAAGTTATATCATAATTGAAGTGCTTAATAATAAATATTTTTAATTAATAATTATTTTGATTAATATTTTATTAGTATGAAGAAATGAAGCGTGTTGAAGAAGAATGCACACGTGAATTACAATTAAAAGAGCAAAAACGGAAAGAATTATATGCTAAACAAGGACGTGGCAGTCAATTTACTAGCAGGGTATTGAACATAATTAAATATAAAATGAAGTATAGAAACGATATTTTAACAATTCATTTGTATTAGGATGAAAGAGATAAATGGATACAAAATGAACTTAAACAACTTACCAAACAAATTAAAGATAAAGAAGAACATCAAAGAAAAATTAGTGAGGATTTAAAACGAGATGCAGAAAAACAAATTACTTTAGAAAAGAAAATCGAAGAGCATACGCGCGAAATGGAACAACAACGAACTTCAATAGATGAACACAATAAACAATATTATGAACTTACTAAAGCAAAGGATCAGTGCCAAGCTACTCGAAAAGAACAGTTTGTTTATTATGTAGTACTTTTTATAATTTAGATTTTAATCGTATAATATAAATTATATTTATATTATAGATATCGACAAGAAAGTGTATTACAACTTAATTTATCTGGGTTGAAAGAAGATTTGGCAAAAGCGGATCAAAGTTTACGATCTATGGCAGGAAAACCTATTTTAAATGGTCGAGACAGTGTACGAAAAGTATTAGATACATTTCGGTAATTAAATACATTTATATAATATTTTGGAAATATTATTATTATATTAAAATTTTTTATTTAATATTTATAATATTTCCTTTTTAGAACACGTAAAGATATGGCCCATGAGGTCAGTAGTTATTATGGACCTGTAATTGAAAATTTTAGTTGCGACAAGAGTGTTTATATGGCTGTAGAAGTAACTGCTGGAAATCGATTATTTCATCATATTGTGGAAACTGATAAATTTGGAACAAAAATTCTAAAAGAAATGAATAATCAACGTCTCCCAGGAGAAGTAACATTCATGCCTTTAAATCGACTTCATGTAAAAGATATAGATTATCCGGAAACTAGTGATGCTATACCAATGATATCACAATTAAATTATGATCAAAAATATGATAAAGCTTTAAGGTAAATAAATTATCAATTTTTTAATATAATATTTAATTTTTAGCAATAATAAAAATAAGAATATTTTCATGTTTAATTTGTAAATATAGGTATATATTTGGAAAAACATTAATCTGTCGTAATTTAGAAGCTGCAACAAATTTGGCTCGCACATCAGGTTTAGATTGTGTAACACTTGAAGGTGATCAAGTATCTTCAAAAGGATCTTTAACAGGCGGATACTTTAATACATTAAGATCTCGATTAGAAATACAAAAAACTAGATCAGAATTGATAGCTCAAATTTCATCTCTTGAATCTCAATTTGCAACTCTTAAAGAAGAAATTAGAAAAGCAGATCAAAATATTAGTTCCTATGTCAGTGAGATGCAAAGAACGGAAACTAAAAACAGTAAAGCTAAGTAAGTTATGTAATTAATTAATATAATTAAAATTCGAAATTGAACTTTAGATTTATTTTTAGATTTATTTACTTGTCATGTTTTAACTACATATGAATAAAATTTTTAATTTCGTTTTATTATTATAGGGATGTATATGATAAAATGAAAGCAGAAATACGACTTATGAAAGAAGAATTAAGCGCAATAGAACGATATCGTACACCAAAAGAAAGAAGTTTAGCGCAGTGTACATCAAACTTGGAAGCAATGCGTGCAACAAAAGAAGGTTTAGAAAGTGAATTACATCAAGAACTTATGGCACAATTGTCTGTTGCCGATCAACGTCAAGTCGATACATTAAATGATGATATAAGACGCTTAACAAAAGATAATAAAGAAGCATTTGCTAAACGTATGCGATTAGAAGCTGAAAAAAATAAATTAGAAAATTTATTGACCAATAATTTAGTCAGAAGAAAAGATGAATTGGTTCAAGCATTACAGGAGATATCTGTAGAAGATCGACAACGCCAGTTAGAATCATCGAAAGCACAATTAGCAGATATTGAAAAAAGATTAGTAAAAGTAAATGCAGATTTTAAAGCTCAAAATGAAAGAGTAACTAATGCTATAAAAAAAGTAAGTATAGTAATTATTAATTAATTATATTAAGGCTAATACTGGTATATATATGATATAAAGTTTTTTATAGCAAAAAGCAGAATCTGCAGAAGTTGAGAAATGGAAAATTAAAGAAAAAGAAGCACAAGAAAAAATAGAAGCCGATGCTAAAGATTTAGAAAAATTAGCTAGTAAATTGAATATTTTGCAACAGAAAATAGTAGAATGTACACAAAAAATTACTGAACTTGGTGCATTACCTAGTCATGAAGTATACTCCAAATTTAGTGTTATGTCTACCAAACAGTTGTTTAAAGAAATGGAAAAAGCAAACAATCATTTAAAAAAATATAGGTATATTGATAACATACATAATGATTAATATTAATATTTTAAAATTAATATTAATAAAATTAATAAAATGTAACATGTTCAAAAAAAAATTATATCATTATTTTTTATTTTAGCCATGTAAATAAAAAAGCTTTAGATCAATTTATGTCATTTAGTGACCAAAAAGAGAAATTAGTAAAAAGAAAAGAAGAATTAGATAGAGGTGATGAAAAAATTAAAGAGTTAATGTCAGTACTTGAACAACGTAAATGTGAAGCAATTCAATTTACATTCAAACAAGTATGTAACTTGATATTGTTTTGTGCTTATGTGATTTCGTTTTGTTTGTATTTATAGAAATAAGAATTAAAATATTTAAATCATTTTCTTGTATTTAGGTAAGCAAATACTTCAGTGAAGTCTTTAAAAAGCTTGTGCCATCAGGTCATGCTCAATTGGTTATGAAAACCGCAGATGGAGATGAAGGAGATGATACAACACCAGAATCTGCTGATTCTGATAGATTTATTGGTGTTGGTAAGATAATATTCACATTTATTTTTTATTATTAGAAATAAATAAAGAAAAATAAATTGTTTTATTTATATTTTTTTCTGTAGGTATACGAGTATCTTTCACAGGTCATAGAGCTGAGATGAGAGAAATGAATCAATTATCTGGTGGACAAAAATCACTTGTAGCATTAGCATTGATATTTGCAATTCAAAAATGTGATCCAGCACCGTTTTATTTGTTTGATGAAATTGATCAAGCTTTAGACGCGCAACACAGAAAAGCTGTAGCAGATATGATTCACGAACTTAGTTCCGATGCCCAATTTATTACAACAACTTTCAGGTATTTTATATTATTTCCTATAAAATTATTTCTTTTAATTTATTTAATCATTATTTACATTACAGGCCAGAATTGTTGCAACATGCGAATAAATTTTATGGTGTTAAATTTAGAAACAAAGTTTCTCACGTTGTATGCGTAACACGAGAAGAAGCAGCGGATTTTGTAGAAGATGACACAACACATGGTTAATATAAAATATAATTATAAATGGTCTGGAAACGGTTATTTTCTCAAAAAAAAAAAAAAAAAAAAAAAAAAA